TGAAAAAGAAAAAGGAGAAGGTGAGGGGGAGAGGTTAGAAAAATTCCAGGGATAAAATAGATATGGGTGGAGGAACTAGAGATTTGAGGAGGTTGAAATCCTCCATCAATTGTGGCAACTGAGGAAGGGGAAGAAGATGGAAGATGAGGTGATTGTGAATACTTAATTAATGTTTGGTCATATTATCTCTTAGAATGTTAGAGGAATCAATGACCATAAGAAGAGACAGGTGATAAGAGATTTTATGAATAGATGAAAGTCGGGGGTAATTTGCCTTCAGGAAACTAAGATGTACTCCACTTCGATTAGCATTGCCTGCGACAGATTAAGGAGATTAGTTGGAAAGAACTTCCAGCTAGTGGGGCTTCTAGTAGCATTCTATTTATATAAAACAATAGTTTACTTAATTATGTGAAGGTGTTGTGTAAGGAATGCTCTGTCTTATGCCTAGTTGAAAATAAAAGAAATAAGTGGAGATAGGTGTTTGCTAGTGTATACCACATAGGTGAGGAGGGAGAGAGGTGTGTGTGTTGTGGAATGATCTGGATGAATATAAACAAAAATCGAACCTCCCTTGATGGGATGAGATTTCAATATGGTTTGCAGTAGACAAGAGAGATCAGGAGAGTACTTTTCGAAGATTTACGCTGATGAGTTTCGAGAAACTCTAGTTAGGCTTGAATTATTGGACTTTCCTCTCATGGGAGGTAAATAGACATAGTTCAATAAGGGATTAAATCTAACATGTTCCACAATTGATAGGTTTTTTGGTGTCTATCCCGTGCCAATCTCAATTATCAAAGTAGTACAAAAATTTTGCAACACACTATCTCTTACCATTTCTCCATTTACCTAACTTCCAAAGGGATTAAATTGGGTACTCGTCCTTTCAGATTTGAGGATAAGTGGTTAAGAGTTAATGGCTTATGTGACAAGATCAGTGAATGATAGAGTGGGGTGAGGGTGGATGGTAATGTTAGTTTCAGAGTGGTTCAGAAGATGAGAGAAGTTAAGGCTAAATAAAGAAGTGGTGTAAGGAGTGGTAAGGAGATACTATGGTTACAAAATCTTTACTATAGGACCTTGAGGCCTTGGACAACATGGAGGGGGAAGGAGGCTTGTCTACTGAAGATTTGGCTTGCAATGAATTCATACAACTTGAGTGGGTAAATAGAATGCAAATGGAAGAGATTTCATAGAGACTAAAATCAAGAGTTAGATGGATAAGGGAGGGAGATAGAAACACAAAATTCTTCACTGCATAGCAAATCGTTAAAGAGGAATCAATTATGTGGGGAAGATTAATATAGATCATCATTTGGTGAAGGTTAATGAACAACTGAGGGAAGGGTTTATGAAATTCTTTAGTAGATTATACTGTAAGGAATTCAACTAGAGTCTAAGCTGAATGGTCTGAATTTTACGTCATTGGATGAGTGGGGCCGGAAATCACTTGATAGAGAGTTCACTAAAGAGAAGATTCTAGAGGGACTCATGCAATGTAGGAAGGATAAAGCTCCTGAACCTGATGGTTTTGACATGAATTTTCTTCACAAATTTTTGTATTTGATGAAAGAAAATATTTTTGAGTTTTTTAAGGAGTTTCATGAATTTGAGTCTTTTGTTAGATGTGTAAACTCTTCCTTTGTGATTCTTATTTCTAAGGTAAAGGAGTGACAAAAATAAAAGATTTTAGACGTATCAGTTTAGTAGAAACTTATTACGAAAGTGTTGGCTTAGAGCATGGAGAAGATGATAGGTAGGGTGATGGGAGAGTATCATCATGTTTTTATAAAAAGAAAACAGATTCTGAATGTGATTCTTGTTGCTAATTAAATCGTGGATGATCTGTTTCACAAGAATTGAGAGGGGCATGGAGAAAACATATGATCTGAATGCGACTCTTGTTGCTAATGAAATTGTGTTATGTAAATTGGACATGGAAAATGCTTATTATCATGTAAATTGTATCTTTCTTGATTATATGTTTAGATGACTGGGTTTTAGGGACAAACAATGCAAAATGGATCAACTCATATATTTCTACAGCTCCTTTTGTGGTTATGGTAAATGAGGACCTGTGATCATTTTTCAATGCCTCCACTAGTATTAAATAAGATGATCCCTTGTCTCCTCTTTTTTT